TCTTCGCCTTTATTTGCACAGCCAGAAACAAAACACGAGGTTCGCCTCAGGTCATGATTTTGGAAGTCATAACTACGGCGTGAATGTGTTTACTTGCAGGTTAATTAAAGTAACTTTTTAACTCTGATGTGACTTAAGTTAGAGTTACAAAAGATGGGGGTCATTCCAACCGCTCAGCGTGCACCCAGAGCTGCCTTTTTTCCTGGCTGCTGCAGCAGCAGCCCCGGGCGCCGGAGCCATCGGGCGGGAGGCGCGGCTGCTAACGAACCGCTTCTGGCTGCCCGACACCGGCGAGGAGCCCGGGCTCCGCAGGGAGAGAAGCGCGTTCTAGCAGGCTTCTCTAGTCCACTCGCCCTGCCTCAGGTCGGGACTAACCAGACCTAAACCCTCTTCGCCTATCTGCAGCCGCCTGCTTGCGACTGTCATCGCTGGGCATGTAAAAAATGCTGCTTGGCTTCATTTGGCTGTCACTCCCAGAGCCTGGAACGGTTGGTCACCTGCAGTCGTTCCCAGAGCATGGAACGGTTGGTCACCTGCAGTCGTTCCCAGAGCATGGAACGGTTGGTCACCTGCAGTTGTTCCCAGAGCCTGGAACTGTTGGTCACCTGCAGTCGTTCCCAGAGCATGGAATGGTTGGTCACCTGCAGTCGTTCCCAGAGCACGGAACGGTTGGTCACCTGCAGTCGTTCCCAGAGCACGGAACGGTTGGTCACCTGCAGTCGTTCCCAGAGCATGGAACGGTTGGTCACCTGCAGTCGTTCCCAGAGCATGGAACGGTTGGTCACCTGCAGTCGTTCCCAGAGCTTCCCAGAGCATGCACCGGTTGGTCACCGGCAGTCATTCCCAGAGCATGGAACGGTTGGTCACCTGCAGTCGTTCCCAGAGCATGGAACGGTTGGTCACCTGCAGCGTACAGACGTGTCCGATGGGAAAAAAGACTGGTGCCCTGCCATTTGTCATGGGATTAGTTCCTTTAAGAAATGTAAATCATAGCAAAAAACAAGGAATCTCACAAATCAAAATAACTCAAATAGCATAAATTGTCTCCGCCTTGGAGACACAGTTTTGCTCTTCATAAACCTTTTTAAGGCTCTGTGGTTTGCTGGCAACTTTTCCTTTGGCAACGCTATGTGAGCTTTGTAGGAAATCTGAATACTTGACTCCTGTGCAAGAAATGCCAGCCCCTCTGCCGCCGCCCCGCTGCATCGCTCCCATAGCCCCAGGTCACACGGATGCGTTACAGTGCGTTGCAGAGAGCGTAGCGGTCACAGTTCCCACCGGGCATGACCCGCACCTCTGGATCGGAAGGGTGACGCGCAGCAATGGGACTGCAGATTTTGCGGCGCCGATCCCAGGCCACCAAAGCTTTTGTGGCTAAATGCTTCCGAGCCCCTCGGACAGGCCCTTCCCCTCCTGCTCTGGTGAGGGGCAGCTGCGCGGCTGGGTGATTTCTCCGGCTTGTAGTTAGGGACAAGGTGACCGGCCACTTATCATAGCTGTGATTCAAAACAGGCCTGGGAATGCAACTGCCATCAAACACCGCATTGTCCAGATTGTGCTGTTCGCACTGGTAACACTTCTGGAAACGCCCGACTGAGTATCCATTATCTCTAACAATTCTGAATACAGATTTGTGCAATATTTTCAAGCACAGACAAAAATTGGCTTTACTCACAGCTGAATATAGATGTTAAAGGGAATTACAAGTAAGCCCCATGTGTAAAAAGCAAAAAATGCACCTATATTAAATTAACAGAGTTTTGAATTGCAGTGCTCCAGAGAGAACAGGGAAGTTTGAAGCCTCCCTCATTCCCACCGTACCGTCCGTAGTAACAGTGTGAGCAGGCACCAACAGCTGGGTTTCAGGCTGCCCGGGCTGGTAACTCCTGGGTTCTGCAACCCTAGGCAGAGCTTCGCTTACAGAATCACAGAATGGTGGGGGTTGGAAGGGACCTCTGTGGGTCACCCAGTCCAACCCCCTGCCCAAGCAGGGTCACCCAGAGCAGGCTGCACAG